TGCTGTACGACAAGGCAAGCTGAAGCAAAAAACAAGGCAAAAAACTCAGAAAGCGGCAAGTCTAAAGTTAAGCACATGATGAACCGCAAGATTCTGAAGACGACTGCCCGAGTTCCTATGCTTCAGCCTGAGGATCAGACTGATCAGCGTTGAGCCCCATGGTGGCCTCAGCCCCAGCAGCAGAAGAAGCGGGCTTTGCACTCTGCCGAGCCTCCCTTTCCCTCTGCTCAGCTTCCAACTCCAGTCTCTCAGCTTCCTCTTCGGCTTCCTCAGCCTTAAGGATTTCAGCTTCGGCTGGAGTTGCATACTTCATATGAGGGTCTTCGGGATTCTGGACCCACTCAGCACATTTAGACCAGTCCAGCTTCGGCTCAGCATGAAGGCAGACTCTTCGGCATACTCGGAATCCGTTTCTGAAACCCATCTCATATTCCTCTTGGGTATAGACACGGACTTTGAGTAAAGCCTCAGCATCAGCCAGCTTCTTCTGGGTCTCCTCCAAGTCTTCCTTGGATTTCTTAAGCTCATCAGCGACCTTGGAGGAGGAACCTTTCAGCTCATTCAGCTCTTGCTGAATTTGGAAAGCCTTTGTCTGAGCTTGGGCCACTTCAACTTTCTGGATCAGCAGTTGATCCTCTTGGAATTTAGCTCTTTGGGCTTCAACAGCAACAGCAACCTCTGAGAGTTGGACATCTTTGGCCAGGAGCAGCTCTTCAGCAGCCATTCGGCTGGCTTCAAGAGCCTCTAGACGTTGCTGCACTTCAGCTTGTGCAGCAGTTCCTTCCTGAATTCGGCTCTCAACAGCAGCCTTGAATTTGGAGACGTCCACTCCCATATGCTCCTGGAGGAATTTTTCCCCTTCCATCAGTGGGGGAAAAACTTCCTTCTCCATAGCATCGCAGAAGGTTTTGAGGGCTTCAGCAGCTCTTTTCTCATACTCCTCAACCTCCTGCTGCTTCTCTTCAGCTGCTGCTTGCTTCAGCTTAGCAAGCTTTACTTCCTCTTCAGCCACCTTCTTGTCGTGCACAGCAGCGTCTACCCTATCTTGTAGGGTATCTATCAGCTCTACAGTGAGAGTCTGATTGTGCACGAACTGAAAACAGGAAGACAAAAATAAATAAAAAAAAATATATATATATATAAAGAGTTGAATTTCGGAGGAAATAAAGACAAGGAAAATTACCTGCATCATCAGCAGTTGGTTAGACCTGGCTGGGTCAGGAACTGATCTGCTGGATTCGCCCATCCCAGCAGTGGCCTTCAGCGACCAGATCCTTGCCCTGTCTACTTCGGACATGCCAGCAAAATTGCCGAAGTAGGCTGCAGCTCCTTCTCGGTTTTGACCCCATATGAGGTCCCAGATGTGGTCTGGGATTGGAATTCGGGGGCCGAGAAACCCATTTCTCCAGAATGCAGAGTCTGGAAAGAAGGGAAGGATGACGATGGAGCTTGGTTAGCTTTGGTTGTCTCAGCATCATCCTTCTCAGAGGAGTCAATTACTATGACCTCCTCTTCTTCAGGGGTGAGGACGAAAGCCTCAACCTCTCTTGCGATGTCTGCCGTGAAGCCCTCAGCACTGGACATCACGGCATCCTTATTTTCGTGCTCAGCAGCACTCTTCTTGATTTCTTCTTGGACCCCTCCCTTAGGTTCGGGAGTTCTCTGATCCACCTCCATCTCAGGAGGTGGCGGAGGGGTCTTTTGAGGTGATTGGGGTGGTGGCTGGGGAACCCTCGGCGATCCGTTGCCTTCCTCGGGTTCCCTTATTGCGACGCCGATGGTCATCGACCTCCGCTGAAAGTCATGAGGGCCGATGATGGCCATCCTTCGGCGCCTTTTCAGAAGGGGCTGCTCGTCCATATCTGAGTCTGAAGACTCTTGTATTTGGTCTTCGGGACGAACAGGAGCTTTTCCTTCTCTGTGTCTGTTACTCTCTTCAGACTGTAACAGACAGGGGGGAAGAAGAATGTGAGTAAAAAAAAAAAAAAAAAAGAAAAGAAAAAAGAAAAAGTTGTCTGAAAGCTCACCGAGGTCTTCAGCAAAGCCTCGTCTTCTTCAGCTGCTCTAGCTGCAGCTTCGGCTTCAGCAGCTTTGGAGGACCCTTCTCCTCCTTCGCAAGCTTCGAGTACCCGTGCAACCTCTTCGGCTGTGCGGGCAGCTTCAGCTTCTTCGTCCAGCAGCTGAAACCAAGGGTCTCTCTTCTTCCACCAAGGCTTCTGCCTCTGATACAGAGCAACAACCTCAATTTGGAAGTGGGAAGAGTCTAGATGAACTTCCCTATGCCTCGGCTCAGTGATAGACGGGGCCTGTTCAGTTACAACTTGCTCTCAGTTGACACCAAGACGAGCGTAGTTAATGCCAACGTTGGTCTCGTCCCGCTCTGAAAAAAGGAAAGGGGAAAGGTTAGCTCAGATAGATCGGCACAGCATAAAAAAGCAAAGCGAGAGAAGAAAAAGAGGTAGTTAAAAAGCCTCGGCCCCAGCCGAAGAATCTTACCATCCTTAAACTTTCGGCTGAGGCCAACAGCTGCTAGCATGTTCTCTTGGAAAACGTAATGCGTATCGGGGAGCCAAGTCTCCGGGATATGCTGCATTCGACCACTCCCCCCCCGGTTCGGCAGCTTGCCGAAGATATGTTGCTGATCCAGGTTCGGATCCGCCCCGTTATCTGCGGGGGGACCCAGACTTCCCATTTCGGGATCAGGCTCAGCTAGGTACCGGGGAGCGCTGAAGACGCAAGGGTGGCCCGGATCTGTGGGTGCCCTAACCCAAATCCATTGACCTCTCCAGTCCTTGTCTGAAGAGTCGTTTGGCCACATGGTCAGGTATTGGGGCCGGGACTCAATCCGGTACCACCCAGAACCATGGCTTCCGTGCCCACTTTGAATATTTGGCACTAGCCGATGGAGCTTTTTGAAGCAGTGCAGGTTCGGCACGTACTTGAAGAACTTGCAGACCCATAAGTATGTCATCACCCTTCGGATGCTGGTGGGGGTTAGCTGACATAGAGAGATGTTGTAATGGATCAGCAAGTCTCGGACGAATACGTCCAAAGGGAACCTCAGCCCGTACTGAAGCTGTCTCGTGTACACCCCCACATACCCCGGGGGTGGACGATGGATTCTATCGGATGCCGAGGGCATTCAGCACCAATACCCATCAGCTTCAAAAATGCCGTAATGCAACTCAATTTGCTCGGCAAATCGATATTGATCGGCGTTCTCTACCCACCATGAGTAGGGGCGGTTCTTTATCATGGCCGAAGCGACTTCGGCATTCTCCCATTCTGAAAACCCAGGGAGGATATCCCAAAGGACAGCGGGAACTTCATCATCCCGTCTAGAAGCGCTCGGCTCATCCGTTCTTTGAGGAGGAGCCGAGGAAAGGGGAGTCGCCCTAATCCCTTCAGCAGGGTCAGTCTCCGGCCTTTGACCATTCCAGGTCCCAATCCTGTTCCTAGGATCGGGAATCGGCCTTGCTCTTCTTGGAGCACGGGCTCTACCTCTAACTCCTCTTGCCATTGATTATTTCGAAGAGAAAAGTCGAAAGAAAAGGGGAAGGAGTTCGAATTCGAAGAAAAATAAACTGAAATCAAAGGAATTTACCTTAATCTGAAGCGAAAGTTGCCGATTTACGAGTTCGTAGTGGCAAGTCTCAGTTTCTAAGCTTAATGCTCGGGGAATTTGCGAAGTTTTGATGCGGGTTCTTGGTTTCTCTCTTGAGAATTCTGGGTTTGTGTTGGTGAATAAGTGAGGAGAATTACGCGCCTCTGTTTATATCTCCAGGTACGGGATACGAGGAGTCTGTGTTTTAATTTCTCTTAAATACCCACTAAGTAACCATTAAACACATGATCTTGCGATTAAACTGCCCATTATCCGTCCAACTTCCGCAATCATTAACCGTTGTTATCTCATTAATTACGGTTTAAATTCAAATTTTTGGATCAATTAAATCATTTACTTCCCTCCTTTTCTGAATTAAATCAAACCCGACCCGTCATCCTTCCAAATCGGGTCTGGGGGGCAAGTTGTTTGGGTCCAATTTAGTCAAAATTGGGCCTAAGCACTAAATGATCCAATTAAAAGCCCAAGGTCAAGGTTCAACTCTCCAATTGTGCAAAAGTCAAAGGTCAGCCCACAAAGCAAGCCAATTGGGCTAAGGCCCAACCTCTCCATGTATGATGAGGTATAAAAGCCATCATATTGACACATTCACATATTCACGTTCATATTCATATTCTGATTCATATGCTCAATTCGGATATATTCCATAAAAGCCTCAAGCTACAAACTCTCTTGCATAGTGTCTTCCTTTTACACATTGTACTGACTTTAGCATCGGAGGGGCCTTCCTCGGCAACACCCCCGAGGCTAGTTTACGTGTGTTTACTGTGCAGGAAACCTTCGGCCCAACATAACTTGGACCGAATCCAGTCTTCTCCATTTCAGCGGACCTTCGGCAAGGTCCCATTGTTTTCACCCGAAACACCATTAAAGTTTAAAATTTTTGTTAAAGCCTCTAGGTGATGACAATTTTCATACTACTATTGAATAATACACATATCTTTTTTATTGTTTTAGAAGTTTTGATCTAATCATTAGTGATAGATGCCTATATGAGGTACTTACCCAACTCGAGTATTCGTTCTATAATATTAAGGAAATGTTATACATAGCCCTTAGGGCTACATATAAGCATTAAATTCACACTTAAAATTCGTAAAAAGTTAAGAAATCATACAAATTTAAACACTAATTACACTGATTTACGAGTGTTTTTATCATGAATTCCTAATTTTATACAATTTCCAAGAGTGTATTTAATGTTTATATATATAGCACTACCCTAATATTAAATAAGAATTTAACTTCACAAAAATAATTATAAAATATTAAATATGATGTTTTAAAGTGTGAATACAAGCATTATAGTATCAAGTATATATTATAATGCTTGATATTATTTATTTATTTATTTTTTTAAAAGAAGGATACACACTTCTCTTGAGGGAAAATTCCAGGGCAATGGTCTAAGTAGAATTGCTTAATGTCTTTGGCAGCAAACAAAGGGCGGTTGTTTTCGTTTGGTGCTGCAAGCATGGCTGTCACTAGACCACCTGTGCTGGTTCCTGCCATCACGTCGAAGTAATCCGCTAGCCTCGCATCCTCTCCATCCAATTTCTACATCAAATCACTAATTAGCAAACCCTTGATTTCAATTTAAAACCTTAAATGATGAACTCTATTTTATAATTTGTCCCCACACTTACTTTTGTAAATTAGGTATCTAATTTTGTGTTTAGTTTGTATGGAGTATAATTTAGAGTATTAATCAAGAAATCGAAGCACATAATAGCATACCCAATGGTTGCCTTTCTGTTGTGGGCATGAGAAAAGAGAATATAAAATAATATTTAAATAATCAAATTTTATCAATTATGGAGAGAGAAAAGCCCTGACCAGGTCATGGTCTTGGCTATGACCTTAACCTTTGGCATAAGGTGGGCAAAGAATTACAGTTCGCCACTTGTCCTGTTATAATTGGCTGATAGTATATATATTTTTATATTCTTTTTAGTTATTTAGTACAAGCATGATAAAGAAAAAATTTATTACCAGGGCAAGTAGTGGGCAACCAATGAGAGTATATGGGCATAGATGAGTATTAGAATTGGGCATAAATGAGATGGAAGAGAGAGAAATGTATTAAATATTTGATGACTACCATTAGCTTGGCGACCAATGAAATAAAGAAAAAAAAATCAAAAGAATTCATCAATGGGCCCGCAGTAACATCATGCGTTCAAGATAAATGGGCGATTAGGTGGAAAAATTGGTTGTTTTGAAAAATAGTTAGTGCTAAAAATAACATTATAGGGGTAAAAACAACAATAATAGTGTATGTTTATTGAAAATTTTCCAGTACTCATTTGAAATATGATTATCATAATGTATTCATGATTATGTAGTTTATAATTGACATATTTTTTCTTAGTAGTTAATTATATTATTTTATTTTAAATATAAAATGTATTAGCAACAATTTTTTGATTTATCAAATTTTTAGTTTTATTTATGTAACTTTTATTTTTATTTTATAGTTTCTCGAAAAATATATATTTTATGTTGGATTAAAAATTTCAAAAAATATATTAGCATTGTAGATATAATAAGAAGACTAATTATGACTATTTTATTAGGTGAAAAAATGAACCAATTATATTGTATATCAATAAAATAATATGGTAGTCATTTTTCAAACGAATACTGGTAAAAATTCAAGTAACAAGTATGTAATGGTAGATATTATTCACAGGGGTGTAATTTAATTGGGCTCGATTGAATTTTTCCATATTCAAGTCTAATCCATATTGATAAGCCCCTATATATAGTGTATTTAATGAATTTTATTGTAAGAAGGCTTATTACAATTTAAAAATATAATGAGTACCAATCAATAATCTCAAAATACAATAAAAGAAACAAAGAGGTTATTTTCTTAGCATCAAATATATGGAGTCTAGGTGGTTAAACATAATACAATAACCTAGCTTGAAGTAAGAATTGGTACAAACTAACTTTACCTGAAGCTGATCTTCTAAGAAGGCTAGAATGGTTCCCGGAATCAGCCCTCGGACTCCGCCTCCATCGATGCTAAGAATAGTAACTAAGTTACCGTAAGTTGGAGCTTGTAGAAGCGAACTAGCTCTTTCCATGGCTAGCTAGCTACCTATCAAGACTACGTACGTGCTTAAAAAACAGCGTCTTGTGCTTAGTCTATATATATTAGATGGATTGGAGGAAGAAATTAGTGAATCATTTGTGTGAGTATAAATGTATGATTAACGAAGGTGTACGTACTAGGCTAAATAATAGCATTACCCATAATTTATAGCCTAAATAATTAAATTCAACCGTACTGAAAATGAAACATTATTTTGACGTGGTAAAACATACCAATAATATAGGCGTATTGATTACAATATATATTTATACGTTACATTGTTGTTAGTATTTTGTCAGATCAATAAATGGAGATATAATGATTAAATCAGTCATTGGTTGAAGAAATGCAAATTGTTGTCAATTGGATAGATATATTATTTCCACATAGGTAAGAAAATAGACATGTCTATCATCTTTAACATCTTGTCCTTTTCTATACTAGCAAGGCAGCTATCTTAGCACTTGAATGTAAATTCTTTGCAAAATGTAATTAGACTAGGTATGACTATACTTTGTGAGTGACGATCTTTAGTTTATGTTACTTCGACTGGGGTATTTGATTTAGTTTTAATCCTCATACTTTTTAAAAAAAAAATTACTATATAAAGGTGGCAAATAGATCATCAGTAAAGGTGGCAAATTCAATAAATTTGTGTATTACAACCTCAGTTTTTTTTTTTTTTTTTTTTTTTTTTTTTTTTTTTTTTTTTTTTTTTTTTTTTTTTTTTTTTTAAGTTGATAAGGAGAAGGGCCTAAGTTAGCGGGCTAGGTACTTTGAAAACAAGGGAGAAGGGTAAGGAAATTCTCACCTTAAAGTGCCTTTAGTGGTGATTGAACCTCTAATCTCAAATTTAGAAGGTATAACCCTTTCCGCTAGATCAAGCTTAGCTTGGTATTACAAGCTCAGTTGTTGCTATATTATAAAGTGCTAACTTCAAAAGTATACTACGTATGTATTAGGATTACTAGTACAAGTACTGAATGTCAACCCCACATCATAAATTCATAACTAATGCATTGTCGACCATGGCGGCTTAATTATATACGATTAACGATGTATGTAGCACCTAATGACTTCACCCACGTATGCTTCAACGTTCAACGTTTTTAGGAACTTCAAGATCCATATTTGATTCTCATTAATTCCATTTGTTCATATTATTGTATTTACATGCTCATCACGTACTTAGTCATATTACGTACATAAATTGGCCGATGAGACCAGCTAAGTGCAACTGTGCAAGCTGCCTGAGAGGCCCATCGACCAGCTTCAATTTGATACTTTTTAATTTAAGTTTACGTGCTGCAATTTTCATTTTATTTTTGTTAATGAATCATCTCAATCACTAATACTATCTCCGTTTCATAAAATCTGCAACAAGGAGGCATTCACATTTCCCAAGGCAAAATTTGGTAAAAGTGTATTAGCAAAAGTAAGGGCAGGTTATTAAGGGTTAAAAAAAATTAGGATGCTATGATAAAGCCACCACGGACATCCAGAACCTCTGCCCCCACCAAGCCATAACTTCCTCATTATTCATCGGAATTGGGCTTATAATATATCGTTTGAAATGTCTTTTCAATCCCCATTCAACACATCATTATTGGACCCTTATCGTGGACCAAACTAAACTAGAATGCACGTTTTTCAAAAATAAGGTAAGAAAAGAAATATTTCCAAAAATAGAAAGAAGAGATATTTTAATAAAAACATCCTCATCACTAGACTTTTCACACTTTCGCTTTGTTCGATAATCAAATGACATGAAAGATATTCATCACTGGGTTTGGTTTTGGGGAGACACATTTGGGTGTCTACAGGCCGTAATAAAAATGCATTCATATTTACTTACATAATTGATCATGTCAAGGGGATCTCCTATGCTCATCGTTATCCATGTAGAGCTAGACTTCGAGGCTTGATCCCTACATTGTTAAGCTACCTAGCCTAAGAGTCACCGTCTTTTGACTCTTCTCAAAATACTTTTCCACTGTTAGCCCTTGCGGCCTAACCTTAGTGTCACTTTCACACACTGCATAGATACATGACCAAATAGTACTTCCCTTAGGAACCCTTTGTCATGAAATCTTAACACAACGCTGAAGCATACTTTGTCATAACAAAATCACTCATCACTCATCATTGCATCACAAAGTATGAAGTGCTTAGCCTTCGCACCTAAGTCACCTAAATACTTTAATTATCAAGCCAACTAGGATAGTCTAAGATGTTACAATCCTTGTACTATGAGAGACAACATTAACGGATTAAGCTCATTCAACAAGCACCTTCAAAAAATCCGCTTCTTTCTTTTTTTCGCGTCTTTCTTTTTTGGGAGAAAGTCGGTACCCTCCACAAAAATGACGGAAACGGAAATTTTTTGCTTTTTTTCATTATCGAGTCGCACGATCACATTACAATGCTCACACGAGTCATGTCATGTTATTGCATCGAGTTAAGTCTACACACACATGAGTCACATGAAGCGAGTCGTCATACCTTGAGTAATGTCAAGTCAAGGAGTCAAGTAACACTAAGTCTTAGGTCAACCCTAAAGAAAGATGAGAAAAGTCTTATAGTCCAAAATATAAGTGCAGGTACATTCCAAAGCGCAAACGAGTAAGAATATTCTCGGATTTTTTCAAAAAATTGCGAATATGACCACATGAGATTCCTCCAAGATAAGAGGAGTTTGAGAAAAATTATATGGATCAGTAAATTAAAGATGAAGAGCTTTAATTTACAAAAGATTTGAGTGGATTTGGTTGAAAGGGGACGACCAAGTTCAAAGTTCGAAGCGAAACCGAGCAACTAACAGCAGCAGCAAGGGAAAAATAGGGAAGACCTGACTCCAGCGCCAGACAACAAGGCTATCGCCTGGTGGCAGAAGAAAAGCGCGACGCCAGATAGTTTCAGCGAGCGCTGGTGCGGCGACACAATGCGTGGCCGCCATATTATATTATGCGGACCAAGTGCAGCAATTTTCGGGTTCCTGAGTACGCCAGTTAGCCCCTATAAGCAATTTGACATGATTGAGTAGTCGGCTTGATTACAAGCGCAATAAGTGATCGGCCTGACAAAAGATCGTCTCACTTAGTTTAAAGCGCCTAAACATTGGCTCATAGCAAAGACACCGACATAATGGTTCACAAGCAGTAAAAGCACCGACATAATAGCTCACAGGTAGTAAAAAGCACCGACGTAATGGTTCACACACAGCGAAAATGCGCCGACGTATTGGCAGCGCGGAAATTACAGCAAAAAATTGCAACAGCAAAGTTCAAGCGAGCTTTAAAGATTGACAAGCGTTGGTCTTCGGTAATTTTATTTGGAACATTATCGTAAAAACTGAGGATGACTTCAAGCGAAGTTATATTCGATAGCGTTCCCTAGGATGTGGAAGGTTGTCAGAAAGCTGAGGATGGTTTCAAGAGAAGTTATCTTCGACGACGTTCGCTAAGATTGTGGAGGTTGTCATCAAGATTTGAGAAGATAGCACGAGATGGGCGGTCTTCGACAGCATTCACTAAGATTGTGGAGGTTGTCACCAAGATTTGAGAAGATAGCACGAGATGGGCGGTCTTCGACGGCATTCGCTAAGATTATGGAGGTTGTCACCAAGATTTGAGAAAATAGCCCGAGATGGGCGGTCTTCGACGACATTTGCTAAGATTTTGGAGTTTGTCACCAAGATTTGAGAAGAGCGGTTTGTGATGAGGCGGTCTTCGACGACTTTTGCTATGATTGGGAAGGTTATCACTATGATTCAAGAAAAAGGATCGATATGTAGCATCATTGATCGACGACGTTCCCTAGATTTTGGAGGGTTGTCACAAACAACTAGAGGTGATTTCAAGAGAATTTATCTTCGATGGCATTCCCTAGCTTGTGAAAGGTTGTCACAACAACAATGCAAATCGGTTACTATTAGAGACGTGTGCTCGATGGTGCAAGATACGCGTTTCTTAACTCTTTTATCTGTTTTAACTAACACTAGTTTGCAGGTATTGGCGTTACAAGAATGATTTAAGATCGCAGAACGTTCTGAATCAGTCTCCGTCCCTATCGCTACTTTGACTTTTGTTTTCGAAACATGCATTTCTCCAAACTCAGTCAAAGTGGGGGCTTCTGTAGACACCCAAATGTGTCTCCCGAAAACCAAACCCAGGGATGAATACCTTTCATGTCATTGATTATCGAACGAGGTGAAAGTGTGAAAATTCTAGTGATGAGGATGTTTTTATCAAAATATCTCTTCTTTCTGTTTTTAAAAATATTTCTTTTCTTACCCTATTTTTGAAAAATGTGCATTCTTGTTTAGTTTGGTCCATGATATGGGTCCAATAATAGTGTAGTTGGATGGGGTTGAAAAGATCTTTCCAACGATATATTATAAGCCCAATTCCGATGAATAATGAGGAAGTTATGGCCAAAATACTAAACTGGACCCGGTTTGGTTCTTACAAGCGGCCCAATGATCTAGAGGAGGGCCTATTATTAATTATCATTCCTAAAGCTATTAGGATTGATTATAGTATTCTAGAATACTCTAGAAGGTTCTCTTAAATCCTAATGGAGTTAGGATTGATAATTATGTTTCAAAGAGTTTGAAATTGAATAAAACTACTCTTTTTAAGAATCCTTGTTTTGTACAAGATGGAATATGTTCAGATTTTATTTTCGTGCCTCATGATCTTTATATAAATCTTATATGGTTGGATAGATATTGAAATTATCTTTCCAATGATATATTATAATATTAATTTCGAGCTATAACGAAAAAGATATGAATGGAATACGAAACTCTATTCAAAATTGACACCGTACTACTATTTCGGATATATCTTTTTACCTAAAAAATATTTTAATCTGATTTTAATTGGGTTGAAAAGTAGACTTCAAGAGATTTCCAACGAAATATTTTATGCCTTATTTGAACTTCTGGATCAAAAGATATGATAAAAACAAAATCCGCAAAAACTATTGTCCATCGAGTTTTATTTCGATTCGAATTCAGATTCTTTTACTTATTTTTCGACTCTCCTTTTTCCTATAAATAGAGGTCATATCTCCCCTTTTTCAATAATCAACTCTCATAAAGAATTTCTTTATTCTCTCCCTCTTTCTAGCCTAGTAT